TGTCTACATTTAAAAATGCATCTAAACAATGTTGCTAATGTTTATGCTACTCCATACATGGAATAATGATCATAAATAAAATAAACCTCTTACACTGTGAGCTCTGAAACTTGTTCCAAGTTACTGGTTATAAAATAAGGAACAATTAGCAATGAAATAATAAGCTACAAAATAATCTTCCCTCCTTTTTTTCCCCCACAATAATATAGTTTCTCAGTAGTATAAAGTGATAAATAAGCAAATAGTTGAATGGCTAAATTTAGTAAATTTATTTATAATCTCCCTTGTACTATTGCAATTCAGGGGTAACTCAAGAGTGAAACATTTAAAGTTAAGATAAAGGAAGGTATGATTCATGTAAAAATAGAATTACTTAAAATAAATACAATCAAACATTTACTTCCCCCCTAATTTTTGCATTTCATCTGCAAAAGAGTTTTTATAAATGAATCAAATTAAGAACAAGTACTTAAAAGAAGAAAAAATCTTTTTAAGGCTCTGAGGCAGGACATTGACCTCCCTTTGGAGACTGATGCTTATTGCTGAATCTGATCATGTGAATATCAGCTCTTTCAAAATGGACAGAGGACCGTAAGGATAGAAACTTGTACACAAACACAAGAACCTAAAATTTGCTACTCTGGTATGGAAGAGCTGGCAGCAAGAAGATGACGAGGCTGTCCAAACCTAAGCAAGAACAACACATTATGTGGATGTCAAATGCCATCGCAGCAAGTCAGAATATATTAAATAGTCTTCATGTATACTCTAATTTTCCTTTTTGTGCTCACTGTGTTTTAAGGGCATTATGAAACAGATTAGTACCTTGGCCTTACATACTGGTGCACATAGTTTGGAACTACCAGCACTTCCCACAGTTCTTTCTTACATTTTTTTTCTATGAACAGTGCAGAGGATCCTTCCAGGAAGGATCTTTTTACACCAGTGTTTATCTGATTGCAAACCAATGAACAGTCAGGCTTAGAAAATTTTCTTAAGTAAGTAGTGAATTACTTCTCCTTAGTGGGCACAGTATGAAATACTACTTCCTGGGAGGAATTCTTCTCCTTAATAGAAGTTTTGTGTTTTTTTTCCAGTTTTCAAATCAAAACAAACAAAAGCCACCTTTTTCTCTGCTTCCTCAAAAATGCTATTGTAAAGCAGCAAAGCTTACCAGTAATGCTGAAGTGTTTGCTGAGATTCCTGCTAGCATCTGGGACTTCTAGGGAGACAAGGAGGAGGAAAAGGAGATGGGAAAATTCTCGTGGCTGGATGTGGTAGTCGTTTGGATATCTTGTTTGGATTATTACATGATAGAGAAGCAGGCTTAAGCATCTAAATCTTAAGTTAATCTTTAACTTAAAAGTAACTCTTCATAACTGCAGAACACATCAGTGAACTGAGACAAACCTGTTCTGCAGGTGGAAGAGGACGTCTTTGCAGTTCAAGCTTTCATCGCCAGCCACAAGGGCAGTTGCAAAACAAGTGCAAAAAGAGGTAAGTACTTTCTTTTTTAATATTATCTGTGTTACAGCAAAACAGAACTGATAAACAGTGATTCGCTTTGTTCTCCAAGGGATTCAGCTTGAGCAGGGGCAGGGCTAGTCATTGCCATTTGCCCAACACCCTTAAGGCAGCTCATATTACAACACTTTAAGAGCTGATTGCTGGAAACAGCATTGGGCCTTGCAGGATCATCTGCCAGCAAGTGCCAGACCTTACCTGTGCTTTCCATCAAACACTTTCATGGCTGTTAGGTTATTTGGCTTGCTGCCATTTATCTTATAATCTCCAAATGCAGTCAGGCTCTGTGAGTGGGTGATCATCCCCCTGCAGGTTTTTGGATCTCTGCAGCTCCTGCAGTGACAGTGAGTGTATGTGGTCAGGGCTGTGCTCGAGAACTGCCGTGTGAAAAGTCACCATCTTCCTCCTCTAAGGGTCTCACCTGGTCAGCTGGAGAGGTGACTGAGGCTTGATTGCCCATTTCCACCAAAGGTAGGAGGACACTTAGCAATGAATGTGGCTAAAGTTAGTTAAATAATAACCTGGTTATCTTCCTTGATGGTGATTGCACAGAGGGAATGTTCCTTTCAATGGGTCCCACTGTTTGACAAATTAGCTCCTACTGCCATACACATCTTTATCTCTTTTCACGTAAAATGTTCTTTATATTGTTTGCAAACTAGGCAACTTCCGATGCTTGTTTTTCTTCGGGTTGGTTGCAAAATGCTCAATTTTCGTTGGCACCCTCCCCACGCACACACCTCAAATGCCACATTGCAGAGAGGAAAGCGCATGAGACGTGTTTCAGGAGCAGAGAGGAGGGCAGGAAAGCACGTTCAGGAGTTGCTTCTCAAATGTTTGTAGGTTTAGTTGATATTTTATCAGATAGCCAACATAGTTAAAGAACCAACCTGGATTTCTTATTAAATCACCCCCTAAGAACACTAAGTTTTCTTTTAACAGTACTTTCAGAGAGGAAGTTAGACACAAAATGTTATTACTACTACTGAATGATGAGAGGAAGTGAGACACAAAATGTTATTACTACTACTGAATGAAGGAAGAGAAACTGCATGACTGTCATGCATTTTTTCTAAAAATACTCATACTACATTTTTCTGCAAAGCAGTAACTGCTTTTTAACATGAGATCTAACAAAATACACTTGAAATAGAACAGTGAAGTCTTTGTTTGATATTTCCACCACCCTCCTCCCCAGGCTTTATCATCGTTTCAAATAATTTTTCCTCTCCTTGTAACACTGAGTTATTTTAGCCTTGCCTGGAATCCTTCTACTGTTCTATTAAACTGGCTCCCTTTTTTACACAAGCTTTCCCAGTTGTGATATAAATACTTTCTAGCAGCATTGTCTGTGTATTAGTAGAGCATTAAGAGATGAAATTCCATTTGCTACTGCAATGAACATGTTCAGCATTTACCTAATACTGATCATCTCCTTGCACCTTGGGCTCCTTGAGAACATGACTTGCAGTGTCCCAGCTCTAATGCCCTCCTGTATCTACCTGGGCACTTCCCCATCTCTTCTTTGTCAAGAAACTCTGTTCATCAGGGAACTTTTACCACCACCCCAGCCTGGGACTCCTGTTTTTGTCTGCTTTGTGCAGCCTGGGAAGTATTCTTGACTAGGTCTGTGACTGCACTCCTATGTGGTTGTGCCCTCTATAAAATTGACTTCAGTTGCCAAATATCTGCAGTCACTTGCACAGTCCAAGGCTGGAAGGAATAGCCAGACCGGGGATTTTAATTCTGGGGCCTTTGTTGCAAAACTCCAGTTGTTACAACTTACCTGCTGAAGGTCTATCCAAAGATGACTATAACCTAAGCTAACAAAACCCAAAACTTCATTCTCCACCACATCTTTGCTGCTAAATCCCTGAAGCTGCTTTGTCTCTTTTGAAATGTGCTATTTCATTTTTTCATGCTTGTTTCAAAGATTTCTGTAATAGTCCCTTTTGGTTTAGGGATTACTACTCGTGAGAGGAATATTTGAAAGAGATGGTTGATTAGATCCATCTCTTGGAGGTAGGGTTTACCTTTTCATGGAGACTACAATGTAAAAAGAAAAGGGTACTTTGATCAGCACTTAAGGGTTTCTTTTCCTGCAAATAATATGCTTACCTTTGATCTCTCCATCCTAAAAATCCCACCCAGATTTCAATTTTCTTGTCTCACTTAACAAGTCATCTCAGTAGCAGTGTTTTGCAGCTTCATTGTCCTGCAAAACTGACACTCGGTCTCTTTCAACACCGGTGTTTTCATTGTCAAAAGATGTCAGGAACTGGACACTGGGGATTACATGTAGTGTCATGGGCCTTCTTAAAGCTTCAGAGAGGGTCCAATTGTCACAAGCAATGTGGGTGCAACCTTGTTTGCAAGGAAAGGTTGGAAAATGAGGACCATCCTTCACACAGCCAGGATCTGCAGCCCAAACGAACAATGCTTCTATCCTCTTGTTCATCATGCTTGGATTTTCAATCTTTCTTCTCTGTCAGAGAAACTTAATAGGAATTATTACTATTACCATAGCCTATCACCTTAGAAATGCATCAAAGTTAAGGAATCATGGATGGACCTGCAACTGCACATTTTGTTGCCACTACAGAATATTTTTAGAACCAGTATTGGGTTTTGATCTTGAAGTCCATCCTGTTGCACAGCCCAACAGAGCAGTGATTCTGAATTTAGCCCAGCCAAGTATTTAGCAATCCAAGTATCATTCTGTTAACATTTATTCAAGAAACTACAGCAAGAACTTCAAGGAAACAGGGAGGGAAAACTGCAGGAAGGAAAAACCGCACTTTTAAAAATCTTATGGCTTTTAGATCTTCACTCATCTTGTCAAAAGCAAGATGGCAGAGAGAGTTGCAGGTACTAAATTACTTCTGCACTATTCAGGTGTTTCCGTATTGACAATGTTGTTATTCAAGTACAAAAGCTATTGTCCAATACTCTCTGGTGTCAGGATTGTTCTCCATTATTCATGTAAAATATGCAACCTGTGTCAGTAAATCCATTCTTCTCCCCCTTCTGGAAATGAACAAAAAGAAAGATGAGTCTCCTGGGCCATTGGTATGTGTTGGTGTTTGCAAGTCTTCCCTTGGGTTGTCTTCCCAGAACACACAATTTGATGTTTGTGCATTGAAAAATGATGCAACAAATGTTTCTTTAGAAAACACTTCCTTTAATTTACTTATGAAGCAGAAATTGTGAAGCTATTTACTCTTTGGTAATTTTTCCCACTTTCTTCCAGAAAGTTGACTACAAGTTGACTGCCAATTTTAGGTGATAAAATGATACAAAATTATTCAGGTGTACTTTCTCCTGGCTCGAAGACATAAGTGAGACTTAAATATGCTCAGCACTTTGTACCTGCCAATGCTTCCTAGCAGTGAAAAGAAGAAGCCCGTATTGCAGGATGTCTCTAACATCTTGAATTTTATCCTTAACTTTCAGATAGAATCCGTCTCAGCCTTGTACTCTTTAAGGCAGGAATGTCCTCACCATCCTGTTCGGTACTGGAGAGGGAGATCTTCCAGTACATTGACGTACATCAAAGTGATTTCATTGAGGTAGGAACTATGTTGCAGTGAAAGGATTGGAGTGCAGCATGGGTGTCCCAGAGTCCTGTGCTCTTTGTGCCAGAAGAGTGTTTGCCAATAAGGCAAAAAGCAGGGTTTCACACCTGGCAAGCAAGGCTGCAAAGGGAAAGTCTGTGCTGGGAACCCTCTGGATGGAAGAGAGATTTACAGGGCCTTCCATCATTCAGCTGGCTGTGGGTATACTTAGAGTAGGCAAAGAGACAGGCTCCGCTGAGCCAAAATGCACCCACAGGGGAGAACTCACAAACCTTTACCAGTTAAGAAAAGTTATATATATAGCATCCGAGACACAGCTGTGATGGGATGGAAATTAAACAATCTTCCAGTGTGACCCTTCTCATGTTCAAAGGCCAAACACAGCAGCATCCTGGGTGGTTTAACTGCACTTCTTTCCTTCCTGTGCAGGATCTTAAGGAATGGGTGGCAGTGGAAAGCGATTCTGTTCAACCGGATCTGAGGAAAGAAGTAATACGAATGATGGCATTGGCAGCAGACAAACTTACAGCACTGGGAGCCACTGTTAATTTAGTAAACTTGGGGTTACACCAGGTGCTTGCCTGATTCTTGCATTTACTTGTCTGATTCTTGCATCATACTTGCACATGTGCTTAACCTATTATATTCAGTGCTATATATATATTTATATGTATGTTATGACTTACTGATATTTTTGGTAGCTAGATAACAATTTACCAACAGTCCTGTAGGTACATGATGCCTGCTGAAATCTGTCTCTTCAGACTGAGAACAGACTTGGGAGACCACACAGACAATCCAAATGCAAACACAGGTTCTCTGCATAGCAGGGACAGTTTGATGCTTTTAACTGGAAGGAAGCAGTTTGCAAAACTGAGCTTTTTTTTTTTTTTTTTTTTTTTTTTTTTTTTTTTTTTTTTTTTTCCGGGTTGGGTTTTTACATTCTTCTGAGTGATGAAGCAAGATAGTGCAGCAGTTTGTCAACAAATTTTTTTTCCGGGGATGGTTTTTACATTCTTCTGAGTGATGAAGCAAGATAGTGCAGCAGTTTGTCAACAAAGTCTCTATATGAGGCAGGTGGCTTCTACAAGGAAAGTGTTACCAGATAGAAAGGGTCATCTTGAGGGTCGTCTTTGGTTTTGGGAGCTTCTGACAAATGCTCCAAACCATTTTCTTGATGTTTGGTGGGAAGAAACAGGCAAGAGTTAATCTCTGAGAAATCTTTGTCTCTAGGTTACTTACCTTACTGTAGCTGGGGGCTTTTTCCTGCTTGTCTGTGCTGGTAACAGCAGGGAATGGATTGCCTGTTTTTGGAGCAGAGACCAGAAATGTGTTTCTCTGCCTAGGGACAAAATATTGTTTCATAAAATGCATGTTTCCTTCTACTGCTGGGCAAGCAGCTACATTTTTGTATTGGAACAGACTGATACAGGCAGCTATTATTGGTGAATACAAGGACCTACACAGCCTTTCTTCACTTCTTATTTCTCTCTCCTGGGAGACACCTCAGCCTCTCCCCGCCAGTCCGGAGATCTGCTCTGCACAGCAGCAGGTTACAGGATTCGTTTAGAGCCTTGACCTGTTTTGAACAGTTTGAAATAGCTGCTGCTGCCTCCTGCCGGCAAAACTATTTTGTTTCTGCCTTTGAGTTACGGGCCCCTTACGATCTGTCCATGGTAGAAATCAATGCCCAAATCAGTTTCTGTGGCTTTTGACTATTTCAGTGTCACAACAAATGCTTTTGTCGTGCAGCCCACTTTGTCTTCTACAGTGCTGGGAGGTAAGAGTTTAGCAACGAGGGCATTTAGGAAAGTTACATTTTAGAAGAGCTCCAAAAAGTCCCTGCAGAACCTATACAGGTGGGTAGCAAAATCTTTATTTTTCTGTGTAGGTTAAAGCTGGATTCTAAGTCAAATTTGTGGACCTAATAAAGTCAAAGCCAACAGAGTATGTAGAATTATTTTCGACACTAAAATCTCTGTTGTTTTTTTGCTTTTTGAATATATATAATGTTTGCAAGTTTTCAAAAGTTCTTTTTCCCTTGCTGCTTTTTTTGAAATGTTTTTCCACAGTTACCTGATGGCCAGGACCTCCCACTGCCTCCTGTGATTCTGGGAGAACTGGGGAAGGATCCACAAAACCCCACTGTATGTTTCTATGGCCATGTAGATGTGCAGCCTGCCAAAAAGGAAGATGGCTGGAAAACTGACCCTTATACACTGACTGAAATCAATGGTATGCATCTGGTCAAAATTTTTGTATTGTTATTTGGATACATGACTCTGAGATTCTGAGTTAGGCGGCTTCCTGTATGTTTAACCACAGTATGAGGAATTTTCCCATGGAAATCTGTGGGACAAATCCAGTGGCTTTGAGTCTTGATGACCATGCTGTGAGTAGTGAGACCCATCAGTGATTGCCTAATATTTGGTGTGGAGGAGCCACATGAGGTTAATGCCACTTTATAGAGTGTTCAATAGATAATCCATTTCTGCTTTAAAATTCTTGTTAGGTTGTTGGATGAACCATTATCCTCCCACGCACTTCCCATTCTTGCTTCATAATCCTTTAGTAGCTCCACCTGCCATGGTGGTGGAAGAATGAGAGGTCCCCCTTAATGTACTCATCCTTCCACTACAGCCAGCTGAGCATGAAAAGCTCCATTGACTTGAAGAACCAAAATTAAGGATGGAGGGTCAGCAGTGAGTAAAATCAAGAACCCAGAAATCCTGATTCCCAGGCCTTTCCTACAGCCACTAAATTGCCTGTTCCCATCTGTTCAGACCCATTCCAAACACCCTTACTGGAGTAATTCTTCTGCTTCCAGTGGGGACTGTCACAAATAAATGTTGTAGTGGCAGCCCACAGATTTATCTGTCTATGAAACAGATTTATCTGTACATTAAACTGAAATCTGTCCCTGTATATAACTGTACAGTTGAACATCTGAAAAAAAAAAAAGTACCTAAACTTTTAGCTTCAAACTTTTATTATGGTGTTTAGCTGTAGGCTTTTTGCTGCTTGTTACCTGGGCTGGCTGATGTGCACAGAAGCTGCATATTGTGCAGACTCTCCAGGCATGTCTGGTGTAAAACAAACAGCACCTAAGAACAAAAGTGAAGTTCAGAAATTGGCATGTAGCAGAGACCACAATCTGATGGGTATAAAAGGTGGGGGGAAAAAAGTGTACCTGTCCCACTGAAAAACACTCCATTACCTTATTTAAAACAAGGCAATGAAATCCTAATTCTTTTGACACTTCACTTGACACAATACTACAGCTTCTGTGGCAACAGAAACTTGCTGATTACATTGATGTGACAAAAGAAGTTTTAAAGATTGCTTAAAAACTTCCCTCTTGTTTTTAAGGAAATCTCTATGGGCGTGGAGCAACAGATAATAAAGGGCCTGTCTTAGCTTGGATAAATGCAGTGGAGACATTTAAAGCCTTGAAATTAGTAGGTATCAATGAGGAACTATTGTTGTTGTTGTTTTTAAATATCACCTCTCTGGATGGATGCATTTACCTTCCCATGAGTTAGATGGTAATGTCTCTGTCCCAACAGACTGGATGCATTTTGAAATATCAGCTTATTTCTAGTGCTATATCCAGGGCACTGGTCCCACTCCAGTGAGAATCTATCCTTGAGCGTTTCTACTTTGAACAGTGTGTATGCAGTGTAAATATGGTACTGCTGTCATTGCTTTGCAGAGGAAAACACACTGGGGGAAGCATTCAATATATATGCCATGCCATAAAGAGCACTGATACCCTATTCTCCTGAGAGCTTTTAAAATGGTAAAATAACATACATCACAGATTGGCCATGAATACCCATCTCTGCTGTCTGACTCATCTCTGACAGTCTTTGGGTTTGTCCACCTACAAGTTGCCTTCAATTTATGCGTGTGCATGCAGAGAACAAGTATCAAAAAATGCTCATCTATAATGCTCTAAATGCTTGTATTATTTCAACAATGTATTAGATTTATCAAAGCAAATGCTTTGAATGGATGCATTATGCAACTACAAGTGGACTCGCTTACAGCATGACACATCTCTAAGAATCAAATCTTTGCCTAAATTATTACAGTAACCAACACAGTTATCTTTAAATCAGTCTGCATATTTAATAATTTTGGGCTGGTTGTATCCCCAGTGCAAAGCTAAACCCACATATAGTCTAACTTGGTTAGCGAGCACCCTTTAAGCTGAATTTGCATGACACATTTTGTTAGAGTGTTGAGCCTCTCTTATGACATTATGGCACAAATTGACCATAAGTCTTTACTTTTAAAGTCCTTTTGCAACTGTCTGGAAAACTGATATTTTTCTTGCATCAATACTACTGAAATGACCTCAGTGTCTCTTTAGTGCAAGAAAACCCACATGTTGTTTACCTACAGATTAGCTGTTGCAAGTGGATAAGGTTATGGGACTGTCTTTCTGCATCTTCCCAGTTTTTTTAATCACTAGTAGCGATTTTGGCATTTTAACAAGCAAGCAAAAAGAAATCTTTATAATTTGAAGCCTTTCCCTGGAAAACAGCACAGACCATCAAACAATATTCATGAACAGTTTGTTTCTAAATTTTTTGTGGAGGTTCAGTGAACCGATCCATAACACAACTTCATTTAATTCTACACATTTGTCCCGACATTTAATTTGAGCATTGCATCAAAAGATAAAACATCTTAGAAGCTGTAATGAGAAAATGAATTGGAATGGGAAACTCAGCTCAAATTTATTCCTTCCTTGGGATGTGTCAGCATTTCTAACTCACACTGTTCCATAAAAAAAGTTCTCTTAATTTCCCTTGGAAATACATCCTTATGAACTAGCTGGCAAACAGATTAACATGTGCTAAAAGGACAATTACAGTGGAATAACCAGCAGCATTTCTACCACTGTGTAACTGTCTCTGGTGATAGAGAACATGTTGGGAATATCACAGCAGTGGATGTCTGCCAGTGGTTCTCCTCATGGGCACTAACACCAGAAATACAAGAGGCTGGAAATTTTTTGTGAAAATGCAACTGTTATTACACAGGCTGTCTAAAGCAATTAGAATATTTAATAGTCTGAGAGAAATCGCATTTTATGAGACAGCCCAGCAAGTATTCTGGAAACACAAGGAAAAAAAAAGACATCACTTAAACTCTCCTTTGAAAATGAAGTGTTTAAAAACAAGAAGAACAAGTTTTTCTGGGGAAAATACATGCATATGTTTATCAGTGCCTTTTCTGTGGAAACAAGTTATATATCCTACATCTTTTCCTGACACAGCATGTGCTACAAACCAGTCTGCTTTTGATTTTTTAAGATTTTTTATTTTTATTTTTGAAAATGTTTGTTTCTTTACCAGACTTCTCTTATGTTCATTCAGGCCATGCCAGTAAACTTCAAGTTTGTAATTGAAGGCATGGAGGAAGCAGGGTCCTTGGGGCTAGAAAAAATACTTCAAGAAGAAAAACAGTGCTTTTTCTCTGATGTTGATTATATTGTGATTTCGGACAACCTCTGGCTCAGCAACAAGAAGCCTGCCCTTACATATGGGAGTCGGGGAAATGCCTGCTTCTTTGTGGAGGTAAAGGACACAGGTTCCTTTGAACTGGGCTCCTGACCAGAGAGCAGTGCTGTATCCGTAACCACATCTACATGAAAAAAACGACTGAGAACAACCTTAATATTTACAAGTACAGACCTTTTTTCCATATCCTTTTTTGCATGTGCAGATTTTCCACCTCATTTCAGTTCAATTAACCTTATTTACTTTCATTAACTTTTCTTCAATCATAATTTCTCCACTTAAGTCTCTCTCTCCTTGATCCTTTTCCTATCCTATTACTCTCCTGCTGCTCTCCCAGCCTTTTGTCATCCCCCTCCCTGCACATCAACTCTATTCTGTTGCAGCATCATTTCTACACCCTCTGACTGTCATTCCAAAAACCATTTCTTATGCAGCTCTGCCCTTTTTGCAGCAGATACTGCTTAGTGCAATATATCTGCCTAAAGGGACACAATTTAGTTGGATCCCTGGGCTTAAAAGCCACACAAAATTTTTGTAACCATTGGCAGAAGCAAATAATAGTGCACTGTAGTATATTTAACAGCCAAATGAACTACTGTGAAATGAAGAGCAGAAATTTCTCATCTGGAAACTTCCTGATGGAGCATAAAAGGCATTCAGAGAAAAGATTAAAGAACTAGAGAACTAAAGAAAAATTTGCATTAACCTTTATATCTGCAATAGCATGAAATTTGTTTTTAACCAAAAAGAGCCAAGGCAGCTTTGATTCAATTATTCTACATCTTGGTTAAGAAAAATGATGCTATTAAAACATCCAAAATGATCTGTATCTACTACCAGACAGTGGGCTGTAATGAGGTTTTGAGAAGAATAAATAATTCTGTTGTAGGAAAATAGTTTATTATAAACCTGTGTATGAATATGTGTCTGGAAAAACAACCTTTTTAATAAACCAAATGCCTCTCCCTATTCTAAAGCTGTATGATTCAAGAGAATTCTAAATACTTATATATTGCAATCTGGAATTTAGGTTGGACATACATATTCTTAATGCAAAACAAGTAAAGCTCTTTCTTGTCTTTGTTATGAAGATTTTATATGAAATAAAAAGAATAGAGAACTTGAAGAATTTATTCTGTGATGTTAGAAACAGTAATATGCAAATGTTTCTCTTAAGATGTATTTAATCTTACTGAAAGAAAGGAGGGACTGGAGAGCAACCCTTGTTTTCAAATGCCTGTAAGTGCTATAGATGGCTGAATTTCTCTCCTTAGCTGTTAACAAGAAAGCCCTGTCTTCTCTTCGCTAGAAGTAGATTCCTGACATGACAGAAGTTTCTGACATGAAGTTTTCCATTTTACAAGTAGAAACCCATGATGGTTTTCTATTAATTTCTGGGGTCATTTAAAAAAAAAAACCAACCAACCAAACAACTGAAGTCACCAGCTGCCACAAAAACAAACACTCACAGAAGAATAAGGTAAGGAGTGTTTATATGTCACCAGTGTTTTTGGTGCAGGTTGAATGTGGTGACAAGGACCTTCACTCTGGAACTTTTGGAGGCATCATTCATGAACCACTGACGGACCTGATAGCTCTGCTGGGTAATAACACATGGCATTACTCAGGAGAATGGGGGAACAGCAGCTGGCAATCAGCCTAATGAAGATAACTGTCATGTTTAATTGACCTGCGTAAGGCAAGTCTAATTGAAGAAGGACTCCCAGGTTTCTAAATCTCAGCATTAGCTATGGTGGCAGGCAGCAGCTGAAGAGGGGAATGTCGCTTCAGCCCATTAAGCTGATGGCAGTTCTGTGTCAATCAAGAACATTTAAGGATTACTGGCAACTTGAACACATATACACATAGTGAAACTTGACTTTTTAATGCTGGTTTCTACTTCAGCAGGAAAGCAGGATGATGTTTTCATGTCAGCAACTGGGCTGACCCACCTCACACTACACACAAACAGCAGCTCTGTGGTTTTATTAATAAATATAAAAATTCATTAACCTAGGTGCTACAACTTGATGGATGCAAACAGTTGCTAGTAGTTAGCTGCTAGGCTTGCTCATTTGATAAAGAGTTAGGCAGAAGAGCAAAGGTGGTGTGATTGCCAAGCGGAAGAAACAGGTCCCACTTGTACTGATCTCTCTGTCTTATTTTGTAGACAGCCTTGTGGATCCCACAGGTCGTATTCAGATCCCTGGAATCTACGACAGCATCGCTGCCCTGACAGAGGAGGAGATGAAATTGTATGAATCGATTGAATTTGATCTAGAGGAACATAAAAATAATAGTGGAGTGAAAAAATTCCTCTATGACACCAAGGTAATGTAAAATCTATATAAATGGTCAGCAGAAAAAATTGAAATCACACATTTGTAGCATTCATGTATAAAGCCAAACTGAAAGATATTTTCAGTCAATGCCAAACTCAAAATAGAGTAAAGGAGCAGAGAGCATTAAAAGGGAAATAAAATTAATCTGCTGAAAATGCAAGGTACTGCAGTTGGGGAAAGTGATCCAAAATATGAATAATCAATGAAAATTAATAATGCAAAACTAAGAGTGTTGCCCCTCCTCTCTTGCACTGAAAATTCTCTCCCCCTCACCTAACCAGCCAGAGAAAATCAGCATTGAAACACTGTATATGGGTTACATAGTATAAAAGAATTTGTACTATGAATGAAGAAATGGGAAGCAGCTTTAGGCAGATGTGTTTTGGATGGTTTTTATGTGTTTAACTGAGATTTTTATGTCTGTCAAGCATGCCAAAAAAAGCACCCAAAGCTTTTACCTCTCTTCACCAACGTTTAAAAATCACATCCTAAATAAAACACAGCAGGTAAAGGCTGGCTCAGAACGATCTCTGTGCACAAGAGTGGCAGCTGGGAGAAACGAAGGGATTCATTTTTTTATCAGGAATGTAATTATGCTGGTACATGCTGTAATATGGATGCTTTTATTTCCACGAAAACAGCCTCTGAATTAGCCTAAGCTAGAGTGTAATAATCAGTAACATAGAAGTATACTGTAATTACACTAAATAAGTTTGGTGCTTTACCTATATGAGGAGGAAGTGGTGCAAATTTTATGTGTATATAAATCTCTAGTCTCCTAAAACTGGAGTAAAAGGAAAGGAGTCATGCCCTGGGGTTTAGATATTTCTCCTTTCCTCCTTAGGATTTTTTTTTTTTTAAACCCTTATCTTCTCCAGAAAAGACAGATCAACTTGGTTATATCTTAGCTCTTGTATTATTTAATGCTCATTAATACCATTTCTTCCCTGGTATCATTTAGCTAAACAGGCTACAGGTTTCTCCTGTGAGAAGTTCTGAGATCAAAAGATGGTCAGATTAGAAGTTGTCCTGATTTTTGTTTGCACTAGAAAAATTGACTTCCAAGATATTTTAAAATAATGTTCTTCTTTTCTTGCTGTGTATGAAAAGCTGTTCTCATCCAAATATTTCTAAATGTAAATAAAGATTGACTGAAAGAAGTAGTATTTTTTTTTAAATGAAAAGAACATGGATTTAGATTACAAATCAAGTATCTTTAAAATGCAGAGGTCACCAAATACAAATTTTAGGATGGAAAAAGTTTGTGTCTTCACATCGTTTTATATAACTAGTAAGCGACTCCAGGGTCATCCCTTATGCTTTCAATGTTATTTCTTTGAAGGAAGAAATACTTCTACACCTGTGGTGTTACCCTTCTCTCTCTATTCATGGGATTGAAGGAGCTTTTCATGAACCAGGAATTAAAACTGTCATTCCGGCAAAAGTCATTGGCAAATTCTCAATCCGTCAGGTCCCCCACATGGACCTTTCAGTTGTGAAACAACAGGTAAGAAGCAAACCTTTTCTTTGGCCTCTATTGTGTAAAGAAAGTCACTCTTAGCACCTCATGATTTTACACGCAAAGTAGAAAACTGAATGTTTTGAGGATTTATTTTTTTCTTAGAGCAGAAGCAAAAATAGTGAGTGTAAGCTTGAGCTGCAAGAAGCTGTAAACACTTCTGACTGCAGTGTGTTTTCCCCACAGGTTGTGGAGCACTTGGAGGGTGTATTTTCCAAGAGGAACAGTCCAAACAAACTGAAAGTGTCCATGCCTTTGGGTGCAAAGCCCTGGCTTGCTGATGTTAATGAGCCAGTATATAAAGCAGCAAGAAGGGCAATAAAAACAGGTGCGTTCCTTCCTCTTTTCAGTTCTTAGTGTGTCTGCAGGTGTGCAGGGGAATTGTGCTCATCCATACAGCAAAAGGGATTTCCTGATTTGCTGCTCCAGTCATGTATACCTCATTGTTGTTTGCATCTTACTGATTTTGATAGAAGAGCTCAGCCATTGAGGTCTCCACTTCTTGCTGAATTTGGAGTGTATTTAATAGGAGTAACCTGAAGATCTCCATTAGTTATTTCATGTACTGATACAAAGCCAGAGGTTTGTAGAGTGCAGCTGATTCAGGAAATCGATTTGCTACAATTCCAACTCTGCAGCTCTTCATGTTTGAGCAGATAGTCAGTATTTGGTAGCTGAAGGCAACACATTTATTTGGTTTAATGAATTGATTCCTGCCATGTATTTCAGTTTTTGGAGAAGATCCAGATTTTATACAGGATGGCTCAACAATTCCTGTTGCCAGAATGTTTCAAACTATAACACAGAAAAGTGTGATGATGTTTCCAATCGGAGCAGCTGATGATGGGGAGCACTCCCAGAATGAGAAAATAAGCAGGTTTCTTGTATTTATCCATTTGTGCTAAAAGAGGAGGGGGGAGAACAGAAGTCCTGGGGTACCCACCCATAAGCACTGTCACATGGGAAGCTTTGTTTTCTACTGGACATTCCCAAGCTACTGTCTCTGGCAAACTTGCTGCTGTGCCAAGCAGAAAGCAGAATTCCCAATCTAATACACACCACTATAGACTTTTCACAAAGTCTACTCAGTCTTTAAATACATCACACTGGCAATTTTCATTTCACTGCCAATTAAATTTCTCTCCGGTCTGAAAGACAGTGATGTTAGATGGGCACCTTTCCATCACAGCATCATTTTCAAAGTATTCCAGTCAAACACAATCAATCTAATGATTAAATAAGGGTTTTAATGGGTTTCAGTATACATGGATATAAAGGCCAAAACTTATGTTATTATGCCAAAATTAGCTTAAATTGCCACTTGCGTTTACTCTTTGAGGAGCCATGGGAAGACACGATTCAGCGTGTTGTGAACATTTGTGCAGATTCTGAGCCAAGTCTTGCTGAGGTCAAGGAACTGCAGAATCCTACAATAAGTCTCAAATAATTGTTTGTTGCCCCTCAGTGTAGCCTCAATCTTTGTGGCTACAGACAATAGTAATTAGGGGACATAATACTGGAAAAAAGTTTCCTCAAGGAATCATTCATAGGAATGCCAATTGCAGGATGTCCAGAATTTCTGTGCATGCAGTCCTTTTTTAAGGGTGGCCAATCTTGCAAATTCCTTTGAAGACTGAAAACTGCACCAGACTATGCTACTGATTTAAAGAGCAAAACAGCCTGACAGGGCTTCATTCTCTTTCTTTCCATCTTCACAGACACAACTACATTGAAGGAACCAAAGTGTTTGCAGCCTTTTTCCTGGAGATATCAAAGCTACACCAGCACTTAGCTGAAACTTCCAACATGGTGGCTAACAACTGATAGACCAACAGGAGAAAATGAGCAAGGGACTTTTTTAGTCTTAAACTTTCTAGCTTCCTGATCTGGAAAAAACGTATGAATCACATATTCACTGGGCCTGACTGGGTGGGGAAAAAAAAACCCAGACCCATGCTATTACTTGTCATACTGCTCTAAATGGTATGCATTTGTGATCTGCTCAATCAAGTGACTTTTACCTAATGCTATAAAAGAAGCTTAGGGATAATTCATTCTTGCTGAGTGGAATATGTTACAGTTTAGTTCTAAAAATCAGAGCCATGGGTATTTTGGCACATATTTTATTAAAATTACTATATTTGTTTGTAGTATGCCCAGGTTCAAGCCACCTAACTCATATTTCAGTTTCTGAATATAAGCAATTTGCAACACTGTTGTTTTGTCCACACTGTATACAAAATGTCACTGTTTAATTATTTGAAGAAAAGCCCACGATAATGTTAATCTCTTCCCTGTCCTACACAGAAGCCTGTAAATAGGAAATGCAATACAATTAGATTCCTAAAATTCATGCAAAGATTTGCATATCAACATCTACTTCTGGGAATAATCACTGAGGTCAAAAGATCTGCAACAGTGAATAAACACTTCCAGGTCTGGATTCTGCCCTTTCTCCCCCATTTAATCCAAATCTCTTACTGTGCTGTGACCACAGTTTTAAGAATCACTTCATAATATGTGTCACAGTTTGACTCAGGTCCGACAACAATGCTCTCGATCCCCTCTCCCCCCAACCCACGTAGGGAAGGAGAGAGAGAAAAAGAGAGAGACTTGGCTGGATTGAAAACTAAACTACACAGCTTTAATTAAAACACTAATGAATCATACAAGAAAATATATATACAATTATATACAGATATATATTCAGGTGTAGGCAAAAGCCTCTCGCCTCCCCCCACCCCAGCAACTCCCACAGCACTTCCCTGATCTGGGAAGAGTCCCGAGGAATCCCGGAGCTGCTGCTGGAGAAAGCAGAGAGTTATGGGGGTCACGAGATCTCGAGCCTAAGGGTCGACGGTGATGGATGAACAGAGTCCTCCCCGGACGCCGGCCATGGACGGACGAGAAGGGAAGAAAAAGAAGGAAGGAAGTTGTCTTCTGTGATCTCTGACCTTCCTCTGAGCTTACGTAGATATATGGAATAGAATATCTTTGGCCAATTTTGCTGTCTGTCTAACTCAGCCTCCTACGGGGGGGTCACAGATCTCCCCATAGTGTCTGAGCCGGCAGAGTGCAGGTGCAGCCTTGAAGCCTCAGTAGTTAGAAAAACATTCCACTGTCTTATCAGCCTAGCAGAACACACTGTTGCTAGTTACAAGAAAGCTTGCTGAAGGAAAAAAAAATCAGTAAAAAGAAAAATTGGCTTCATCCTGGCTCAAACCAGGACAATATGTTTCCTTAATGTCACATTTTTTCTGTACAACAGAAAAAAAATTTTGTAAATGTCTGTGCTGCCTGACATCTGTCATCAGAAGGGTGTTTTTCCATCCAATTAGCAACTAGTTGTTGCTAATTCCTTTTAAAAATTCAGTTTACATTGAAAATTAAATCAAAGGCAAATTATGTATTTTGAATTTAAAGCGGTAGTTGAGAGTATTTACTATATATTTTTTTATATTTTTTACTATAACATGAAGTTATTTCACACACAACCAAAGTGACAGAACCAATTTAAACAAAAAACTTTGTAGTGTTATCTCTACTGTTAAAACAAACATCAATTACATTATGAAAAGTAGGTGGAAACTTTCCTTTCTCCCCTCCTCCCTCTCCTGTAAAAACCTTCAAGAATAAAGGTGATTACAGGCAAAAGATGTGGAGTCTATAGAAAGGAATTTTGAATTGGCTCTGCAGATTGTGAAACTGCAGTGTAACTTTTGGTGCCCACGTCAGGGAAGAGGACTCCAAGTCAAGGACTGAGACTCCAAGATCAGAAGACTCCAGTTTGCACATCATCAGCTCACAAAACAGGTCCTCTGCAGTCTCTCAGCTTCTTTTGCCTTGTTTAAACCATCTAGGAACAAGCATGTTAAGGAACAACGCATGGGAGAGCACTCCATTGCCTGCACAGAACTCTGGGCAGATTTCATGTTTAGAAGCTATGATCGCTCCATAAAGGTAAATGATTTAATTTTGTTGAAGTATTTAAGGGCATACAATTGACAAAGACATTACTTGCAATCTCCTATCTTGCAGTAGCCTTAGAAAATTACTTCAACCATCACTGAAAGAACTGATACTCATATATATGACCCATTTGGCAGAGGAGAAGAGTAGTAAGCTTGGTGAAATGTTTGAGGTGGTATATTTCCTCATGCAAGAGATACGGAGGCTGTGTTTCTAGGACTATAAGTGCTTTGGAAAACACTTCATGCTGTCTATAGGCTCTACAATATGAAGAAGTACAACTGAAGGTGACCTTATGCTAGATATATTTTTTTCTGCTGCCCTTTGGAACTCCAAATAAAATAAAAATACAGTCAACAAAGAGGATATCATTTTAGAAATACAGACACAGTGTCAGGTTCTGCTCTGGAACAGCCAGCTACTTACTGTTAAGTTAAAACCATGTGTGTGAAACCAAGGAATCATGCAGACCATCTTCATGCCTCTTCAGTCCCAGAAGAAACAGCAGAAAACTTCACTTTCCAATTCTCCTGGCTGTGAAAGAAAGGACTGGGGAAGCCACTCCTGCCTATGGATTGCTCTTTCCATCTTAGATAAAGAGAGGCCATCCATCAGTAATCCTGTCTGTTGCATTTTGGTTTTGTTTTTTTTTCCTGGTGTGTACCTTCTCATCAGCCTTTTGAAAAACCTATCCAGGTAGTAAGAACATGGCTCTGTAGGGTTGTCCAACAGCAGCATCTATACCTTTGAGAGCTTGATTGAGGTATCAAGACTTGGATGCCCAGGGCCACTGAGGATGTCCTACGGTACCTGAGAAATATGCCCCAAGGATGGCAGACGCAACTCAGGCCCTGTGTGAGCGCTGCCAGTGGAGCAGCAGCTGGTTGCATGCAGCACCCCAGGGCACCTCCAGTAGCACCAGGTGCCTAGACACAGTGGATCAAGGTCTGCCTGTCTCCCTGGTCCATTGTCCCTAGTCTTCCCTCTTGTAGACTATACATTCCCTATTACACTCCCATGCTACAGGGAATCAAACACTCAAGGATGGGATCCTATTTCCCTATTAATTATGAATGTGAAAGAAGAAATTGGGAAATTTTAATTTCTGTTTAAAATAAGTAGGCTTAAATGTGAAAGTTGCTTTTGTATACTAGGTGAATACAGTTTTTAATCCTTAAGTAGTGTCTGTAAAGAGAAGACTAAAAAATGTGGCAGTCAGCTAAAATAATGAAGAATGTGTAAAATAATAAGATGCTGACAATAGGAACTGAAGACACAGAGAGATGAGCAACCTCTGGAGAATAAGGACTAATCAGGTCACCATCTACTTAGCATGTGAAAGTGGAAGATTAGGCTAACTCATGTAGTTATGGTTTTCCTTTTCAGTAACAGTATTCTCAAGAGCTTGACATTAACTCCTGCTAGTTATTCTTCTCAGAATATGGCATTTAGCTTGTGTGACAAAATGTTATACAATGCCTTGCTAGTTAAGGATGTGTATAGTCCATGTTGGGGGAGGGAAGATTGTGCATCTGTGCCTGTACCTGTGACACAGGAGCCCGTGCCACAGTGGCTGGTGCCAACAAGGAGCCACAGTCCCCTTCTTTCTGCTGGAAACTTCCACCTGCGAGTAACATGTAAAGTCAAAATAGTGATTCATGAAAAATGTCCCAAATGCAATCTTATTGCTTTCTATATCCCACTCAGAGTCTCTGGCTCATCTCCATGGTGCTTGTCACTGGGGTGTGAAAGCTTCCTGTGCATGCAAAACTCACACGTGGGTAAGTGTACGTAACTGCGTGCCCTTGTTCTCACCTACCTACACAGTTTGTTCTCTCTGCTAACAGAAACATTTGCTACCATGGGATTTTCTAGGATTTAAAAAAAAAAAAAAAAAGCAGTTTCTCATTCTATTTTCTTTTAATTTGCTTTCTCAAATACATCTGGTTTTAGAAAACTTATTTAAAGATGCTGACTCTGGAATTGGTCAGGTCTGCACACATTGCCATAGTTTTGGTGTAAGTTACTCTCTTACGGAAGAAGGTGTGTTTCTTTACCAATACTTCTTGTCTCAAGGTGAAACTTAATTGATTTTCAAATTTATACCTTGTATCATAGAATCACCGAGTATCTCGAGCTGGAAGAGATGTGTAAGGATCACTGAGTCCAGCTCTATGTATGTCCATATATACCTGTATTTCTTGAGGTGCTGATACCTTATATCCTTTAAGAGGTAATTAATTATATAAATATTTTAAACAGAAATATATTAATAGATAAATACAAATGGTTCCTTGCTAATAGAGTGCTTTTTTTACTTAGCTCTACTGCCAAATACTTCAGCGATCCTCTCACTTGCGTTCTTTAGAAACAAGTGTGAAGAACGTCACATTACAGGTCATTAAATATGTAGTAAATGGTTTTCCTGGGATACTGCTACATTAGATTACACAAAAATAGCCAGGAAATTCAAACTGACCTGCCAACAATGCAAGCATGATGGTATACAATTTTGCAAAGTCTTTGCAGATTTTTTTCAACTGATGCTTGGGCTTGAACGGAACCCAAGGCACTTAGACAACATTTTAGTTTTGCCACTGGTTTCTAAGGGGGTAAATGGAAGAGCCACTGACTGCTGTGATAGAGATATCCAGCCCAGCCTGAGGGTGGGCAGCTCCTGCAAGGATTTTCAGCTGATTCTGCAACCAATGTGGAATGAGGTGCTTGAGATGGATGATGGGAGGTGGTTCCTAGTTATTCTGTCTACTCTCACGGAGTTTTAAAAATTGTAAATACTATTTGGAAGCATGCTCTTATGTTTTTATGTAACTCCTTTCAGGCTCTTTGTGTGAAAC